CAGACAGACTGACTGACAGCATACAAAAAAAATGCATCACCAGGAGTTTAAATGACTGTCATGGATAATTCCATCAGACTTAACCTGATGCAAGTGGAAATATAAAGATCTATTTATAAGAATTGAGTCATGACAAGCCAAAGACATGAAGGGCCCTTGTTGTGATGAGGAGGCTTACAGCCATGGCAGCAGCTCTGTGAGGCAGGACACACTGAGAAAGATAATCCACATTCTTTGGTAATGAAGACACGACAATTGGATGGCAAATGGGGACGACTTCAAGCCGGCCTGGTTAACGACCTTGATTGACCTCTCCTGTCTTTCCCTACCTGATTTGACCCTCTTTATCCCATCGGAAATCAGAGCCCTCCACCCTTCCTGCGTTTGACCTGTCTGAATCTGTATTTGTGTTGCATCCTGTTTTTTCTTTTTACTGTCTGAAGACACTTCCCCCCTCCAGTTTCATTACACACTACTGTCTATCTCAATACTTAAACTTAAAAACTTACTTGAAATGAGCAGCTCGACAAATGTGACTAAAAAAACCTAAAATAACAGAGACCATCTTTGATCAAAATCTATTTGATGTGTATTTTGACTTTATGTCCATATCCCATCCACTAACATGGAAGAGATGGGATTTATATGACATGTACTGCATCAACCACCAGATGGCGATCAGAGCACTTTGGCTTCACTTTTGGGGAACAGAAATATTGACCATCTTTGTATACAGTCGATGATCAGAATACCTATACACTCACACCACTGCAGCAAACTCTAAACTTAATATTTTCAGCTCTGGAACAACCTGCCCAAGGAGATGCAGGTCAACTGAGTGATGTATTTTTAGTCCCTCCTTCAAACATACCTATATTTGAAAGTCTTTGGGGTTTTAATTTCATTATTTCACTATTGACATACTTAATATTAGTTTTAATGCATCAAATGTTCCATTTAAAAAAAAAGATAATTTGATACGATGTATGACTAGTATGTTTTATTTTGTGGATTGAAAAAAGTTTCTATTATTATTATTATCAGTAGTAGTAATAGTAATAGCAGTAGTAATATTAGTAGTATTAGGAGGCCATTATTATTATTATTAAATTTTATGGAGATATATTCCATTGTTGACAAGTAATAGTAGCCACAAAGAAAGCCTGTTGGGATGATATAAGTCAGTAGGATCCATCACTGACTGACATCAGACAAATGTCTGCAAAAAGCATTTAATATGACAATCCATCCAATATTTCTGGATCTAATTGAATTTAGACCAGACAGACACTGCCTCAGTCCTGTTATGTTTATTGTGCCTCTCTGTCTCTTCCCTCAGTCATTGCGCTGCTCTATCCACTCGTTTCCCACTTACCCTCCGAACTCTCCGGTCATGTGAGTCCAACAACTGCCCCCTGATCTCTTACAAACCTGTAAACTTTTCCTTTTAGCCCTGTACATATTTACTCAAGCTCACTTGTATCTTCTGCCTGATCGTCCACACTTCATATGTATGAAGCTCATCAGGAAGCTCCTGCCTGTAACCTGCTCCTGTTTCCTGTTCACGTCAGCTGTACCTTTGTATTGACTAAAGAACGTATATAAAGGTCAATGTCATATATTTTGATTACTTCCTGGTGTCCCGCTGTAGTATGGACCAAAACTCAAAATCAAGATTCTGCCGATCCACATCCTCGACCAACTGCAATCACTATTGTGGAAGGAATTGAAGACGCTTCGTCCATCTTTATCTACATATGGTCTATACGGTATTGACCTGCTACTTTATTTTCTACCTACTGCCTGTACTTTTGTAAATTTAGAGTTATGCTGCTAGCATAACAAGCAGCTAAACTACAAGAAAAGAAAATATTTCGTGAAAAACAAAACTGTTAAATGGAAATAATAATATATAAGTAATGATAATTATATTCTTCCTTCAGTAAATCATATGAACAATTCATCTTTTATTAAACATACAGACAAAACCTTAAATTATCAAAGCATTGAGTATAAACTGTTTCATCAATGTGTGGGTGTGATGTTTAGAGAGGCAGGTTCAGCTCTGCATTCAAAATATTGAATGTCTTTATTGGCTCTGAGCCCCTGCTGAGTGATTGACAAATTATTGACAGGCCACATTCAAATGTCATGCTTGATTTCCTCAATCTGTAGAGTAATAGAAGTGTTCAACAGAGCATTGCAATCAAGTACACTTCCCACAAGAATCAACTGTTTGTGACTGCCTGGGACCAGGCTGCTGCTGGCAACAAGAGACACAAGATGACTGTATAATAGATTGTATATAATGGTCAACTATTAGTCATATTATCTTAGCTTACTTGAATGCATCATTAGACTGGTCCATTCATTTAATCAGTGGAATCACAGGACGCCACCTGAGGGAGGAACAGAGGAACAGATTTTTAAACACAAGTAAATACCGTAAAATTAATATATAATACATTTAGAATAAAAACATACTGAGATGAAAATATGTGACTTAGTTCAGGTTAACTGTTCAACACATTTTCTCTTTAAATTTCTACAGAACAAGGTCGGTGATATTATTTATTCTTATTGTCAAAAAACAATGTAAAGACCATAAACACCAAATAACTATGACAAACACTTGTTGTTACTGTAAAAAACCTGTGAAACATATAAGTGGGCCACACTGGTGACACACTGTGACTCACTGGTGACACACTGTGACTCACTGTGACTCACTGGTGACACGCTGTGACTCACTGTGACTTACTGGTGACACGCTGTGACTCACTGGTGACACACTGTGACTTACTAGTGACACACTGGTGACACACTGGTAACACACCGTGACTTACTAGTGACATGCTGTGACTCACTGGTGACACACTGTGACTTACTAGTGACACACTGGTGACACACTGTGACTCACTGTGACTTACTAGTGACACACTGGTGACACACTGTGACTCACTGGTGACACGCTGTGACTCACTGTGACTTACTAGTGACACACTAGTAAGTAACAAACTTCTGCCCCCCAGGGTATCATTGTACCCTAAGTACTTAACTGAACATATGGGATTTCTTATTTTAAAATATAAGCGTTTCATGTGATTAAATCAAAACTGTGCCCTTAAGGTCAATTACAAAATACTACATATAAAGCAACAGTCCAAGGGTGGCTGTGGCTGAGGGGTAGAGCGGTCGCCTCCAACCAGAAGGTCGGAAGTTCGATCCCCAGTCCTCCCATCTGCATGCCAAAGTGTCCTTGGGCAAGATACTGAACCCCAAAACTGCCCAATAGAACATCAAAAAAAGTGCTAGCTATAGAAGCACTGTATGAATGTGTGTGTGAATGGATGAATGGAAAACTGTAGTGTAAAGCGCTTTGAGTGGTCTTCAAGACTAGAAAAGCGCTATATAAATACAACCATTTACCATTTACACTGGTGACACACTGTGACTTACTGGTGACACGCTGTGACTCACTGGTGACACACTGTGACTGACTGGTGACACACTGGGGACACACTGGTTCTTTCTGTTTAACTTCAGCACTGGAGCTTGACACAACCTGACACAGAGTCCTGCTGCTGCTCATACTCACTCACGCTCTGATTGTGGATCAATCCGCTGTTAAAAAAAGACCCCTACAATCAAATCATACAAACAAATCAATGGATATATTTTGGGGATAAATAGACTTGCAGAAAGTCACAAACTGGTGAATTTTAAATATATTAGGATACATTGCTAGTTTTGGATTTCAAGGTGGTAGAAAAAAAAGTGTGGTGTAATTATGCCAGTTTTTTTCTCCCTTTTGACCAGTGTCGCATCACCATGTCCTTGTTCATCGCCAGCTATGGCTGCAGGTGTCTGTTGACGATAATACACCTGCAGGCCTTTAATCACATGTCGCCCCATTGGTTTGTGCCATTCAAACCATAATTTGCAGAGATATCGCCTGCTGCTCTCCCCATAGTGACAGTGACGGCTGTTTTATACCAGAGAGAGTCGTCATTCCACATCCAAAGGGATGATAAAGCGCCATGTGCTTCTGAATATAGCTTCATGGTTGTTTAGCCCACTGGAACCTGTGAGTGCTGCATTCATCTGGTTCATCGTAGGGAACATGTATCTAATAAACATTTACTAGTAAATGGATGCTTATTAATGTACAGTGTTTTTGCAGATCATTTGAATAATACCTGTAGTGTCGTGACGGTGTGTGTTTGAAAATACAGGAATCAGAGGAGGGCAGCTGGTGGAGATACTGAACTAACCTGGGCTTCATCTATGTTGTGGATCAGGATCAGAATAACAAGGTGAAAGACACCTTTTACTGCCAATATATTAAAACGTTACAAAAACAATGGCAGTGGCTGCGTTTCAAACCATTCGCCTTTTAAAGTTCTTCATCAGCCCCATTTCATTACACTATTGAAGAAACCAGAACAGTGCTGTCTGTGAAGTTGGAGCAGTAAATACCTCCTGTATGTGTTCCTCCACTGGAACTAATGAATTGAAAGTAATTTAATGGAGCTGTGCACAGAGGAGACAGGAATAGACAAAGGAATTTCCTGAGCGAGGAGGGCAGTGAATATCTGACATATAAATATACATTTATAGAAAATACTTATTTAACAAACAAAGGGTGTCTTTATTTGACAAATAGAAAAGACCATGAATATAAAAGTAAATAAATTATATATAATATTATTTACAGCATGAAACTTAACTCTGTTAAAGGGACATATAGCTTTTGTAGAGTGCAGACAATTTTGTGTAATATTTGTACTTTACCAGCTTTACCTTGTCTGTGTCTGTTGTGACAAGGATGGTAGATAAGAGTATCATTAAAGGAAGTCTTATTTACGTACTTATTTTTATATAGGCGCAGTGCTGCAGTACACATTTTTATTTCTCACAAGTTAAACAAAAAACAAGAACAAAACCACAGTTGAGTGCTTTGTCATGCAGTATAATTTTTATTAAAAAAGGCTTTATACAAATTTAACTGCATACTGACAATAAATACTTGCATTTGATAAACCGAACGGTTACCCGCCGTGTATCATACAGCAAAATAATCAGAAGGCAACATTCATTTTAGCACCATTCTTTTTCAAGAATGCTGACCATTAATTCATACACAACATAAAAACAATATCATCTTAATGAAGACGAGACAAAAATATAAATAACTGCAGATCCACCGAACACAAAAGGACACTTGATCAAGATTTATTTAGCAACAATAAATAAAAAGATGAAAAAAGAAAGAAAAGCAGTCCAGTGAATTGTTGCATTTGAGTAATGTGACTGAATATTTGAGTAATGTGACTGAATATATCATATATCTATATTTCATACTGGTTTATGTCAGTGCTGTCTAAAAAGAGGGGATGACCAGTCGGATCTGTTGCGTTAAATAAAATTGTTTAAAAAAAATGTGCAGTCAAATGATACATTTGTCACTTTCCAATCCTGCTGGGATCAGTTGTTGAAACAGAAATCTTCCACATTGTTGAGTTTGATGGTCTGAAGCTCCTGGCTGTCCAGAAGCCGGTAACTGAAAGACACGCGGTTGACAAACTGGCCGCTGGACACCATCCTCACCACTGTGTTGTCGCAGCCGACCTTCATGTGAGCTGCAGGAGAGTGGAGAAGAAACAGTGACCTCTCTGTTCAACAGGCAGCTTTGTCTGATGGGAAATGAAGGAGGAAGATCAGCGTGCACTATACTCACTGGAACCAGAGAAGGAGATGCAGAAGTCTGTGATGGGCAGAAGCTTCGATGTGTCAATGCCACTTCCCCCGAGTAACTGCACAAAATCTCCGGCTTCTGCACATCTAGGCATGGATCTCTGTGGAGACCAACACATGGCTCTTTAAATCATGGAAAATAAAGATAATAATGATAATGATAACAACATTAATGATAATTATCCGGCCAAAATACATTTTTGATCCATTACTTTATGATTAAGCATCCAGACCCCGCAGGTTGTCTTGGAGAGTCTGCTCTCTGTCCCCTGATTCAAAACTAAACATGGAGAAGCAACTGCTGCAACTCTGTTCTTTTTAATAAATGCTGATGAATGCCTTCATCTTTTATATCTGATTACATTTTATTTCATTACACTTGATGCAACTCTTTTTTATTTATCGTTAAGATGCTTATTTTTTGTATTTTCTTGTGTTGCTTTAAAAATTTGTCATAATGCCTTTTATATGTTATGTAAAGCACCTTGAATTGCCTTGTTGAAATGTGCTTTACAAATAAACTCAAATAAAAAACTAAATACTAATTATTGACATATTCACAACACTGTCAATGAAACTGTGTGTCTGTATCCATAGCCTTTGCAACAACCCTTCTTTACACTGCTTGCACCGCCAGATTACAGCCTGTGTGGTCATGTGTTGAAAGAGATATAACCTACACTTATTTTCACATACATGTAGCTTCAAGTTTTGGTAGACCATGAAAAGTGTACTGGAGGAGAGGACCAGAGATTGTAGATCTTAAACACAATAATGACATATCAGATTTTAAATTGATATAACAAAAAGCCTACTCTAGTGAATGTAAATGTTCTCTGCTCTGGTTTTTGCTGTTCACCAGCTCCTGAAGCGAACATCTGTCTCATAAGCTGCTGTGTTCACCAGCTGTCTGCAGTCTGGTGCTGAGCAGGTAGAGTACAGCGGGTTTATCAGAACAAATCTCACTGAAAGAATCTGCCCGCTGCACCTGGAAACAACACTCATGAGCCAAAACAATGAGCTCAAATGCTTCGGAGAGCTGAGGAGAACTGGTGATAGTTTACTGCTCATTTCACACGGTCATTTAATCCATTGTTAATATAGAATTCTCCATTTTAGGACGGATATGAGAAGTTTTTGCTGCTTGGTTTACATTCCATGTATAAATAGAATTATATAATTTAGTTAAACCTATGAATAAAAAATATATCATAAAATTAGATTACTGGCAGAGCTGAGGGTGAATTAACTGTAATTAAATTGTGCTTCTCCCACATTAATAGTGAATACACTAAATGAAGGGGCAATTTGGAGTTCAATATCTTGGACACAATCAGACTGGAGGTGGCTGGGATCAAACCACCAACTGTACTTAGAATCAGAGTTTTAAAGGGTCAGTCCACTCAAACCACAAATCACTTTTTACTGTCTGTGAATATTAGTATGCAACTGAGGAGTTGTTCCCTGTATCACTGATTTTGTTGTTGTGTTTTCCTCATGTCATTTTTTTCTCCATTGATGATCCTGAACAAACCAGGTGAGTTTATCGAAAACCGTGAGAAAAACCCTTCGCCAAATGCCGAGGAGAAGAATCACGAGCTGATACTCGAGCAGATACTAAATCAGCACGCTTTGGTTCACCTTGGGGAAGTTGACGTTGTGTCCCAGGCTGAACTCAGAGATGTCGATCTCCACTGGATAAATGATGGAGAAGCTGCAGTTTCTGTGCTGCTGCGGGATCACCATTGTGAAACTGCCCTCTGGTGACTGGGAGATGACATTACATGCTGCAAAGAGACAAGGAGGGATGTTACGAGGGTGGGCACAGTCACACACATATAAAGAGTTTAACAACATAAGGTCAAGAACATCAAACCCACTTAAAAGCAGCTCTTCTCTTTGTTCATCTTGATTTGTGAAAATCCAATTAGTGTTGGCGTCGGAGAACATGACAGGAATTAATTTACAGAATCCAAGTCTGGTATTTTGAATTGAATCTATGTAAATTTTAGAAAGAACAATCAATCTGCTGATCATGATGGTGATTCGATTTGCTTCTTCCTCACATCTTACTGCAGAGCATCATTCAGAAAGGTCATGTTCCAGATCCAGAAACTAAGTGATGGTAAACTGTCCCCTGTCGGTGCACTTGATAACTCAGACCCCCCGTGCACACACATGTAATTATAATTTAGTCTTTCTACTCACGGAAGGGGTTGATGTGTTTCCTGACTGTCAGGGTGAAGCTGCTGCCGGCGTTGTGAATGCGGAAGAAGACCATGGCCACATTCTGAGAGGAGCGCACGCTTCTCTTCAGTGATCCCGAGTCACAGTAATCCACGTAGCGCTCGTGCAGAGGCAGCGGGTGATCCTGGGAGCTGGGGAACTTCTCTCCTTTCATCACCCAGCCGTCAAACACCTTCGTGGGACACAGTGAGGGGGAGAGGCAGGATTTCAGATTCAGTCAATGGCTGTTTCGAGTGTTCAATGAGCTGTATGTGGAAGCAAGGTTGATCTTTCTCTGAGGGAGAGACACTGAACTATAGGTTTGTGTCATGTTCAGTATGTGGAGAGCAACAGTAAAAACACAGAAGAGGCCAGGTCACCTAAAGTAAGTAGGTTTATGTAAGTTCCTTGTATGTTTAAAGGGCTTTTGTCTAAGCAGGCAGCTTAATAAGCACCGGCTGTACCAGAAAAATAAAAATACGAACTCACATTCCATCACCAGTATTGTATGTGTATAAATAAACACACATTATAGTTATATAATAGATCTAAGAAGTTACCATGCAACAGGAGATAAGGATTTTACAACTCGAACATACAACATCTGAGCAGATATGTGAAACAGACTCTGTTTCTGCTTCTCAGTGGCAGAGGCTTTGCTGGTTTACCGTGATGAAGTCCCCCCCCCTGCAGTCGATGTCCACATTGTCATAATCCACACTGATCACTTCGGTGGGCTCTGCCATGAAGAAGGCAGCGCAGCTGAGCTGAGGGTGCTCCGCTGTGAAGGTGAACTGACCCTCCACTGCAATCATGTCCAGACAACCTGAGACACACACACGTTCACATGTGAATGTAGGGGACACATGTCCTAAAGAAAACTACGTGTTTTAATTTAAATCTTACTTTAAGCATATTCTATATTCGTATCTATCCATCTATCCATCCATCTATCTATCTATCTATCTATCTATCTATCTATCTATCTATCTATCTATCTATCTATCTATCTATCTATCTATCATCCATCTACCTATCTATCTATCTATCTATCATCTATTGATCCATCCACCCATCCACCCATCCATCTATCCANATCTATCTATCTATCATCCATCTACCTATCTATCTATCTATCTATCATCTATTGATCCATCCACCCATCCACCCATCCATCTATCCATCTATCTACCTATCTATCGATCTACCTATCTATCTATCTGTCCAGCTATCAATGAATGATTTTCACGTTATGTCAGTAAAGCCACCTGAAATTGTAACAAACTAAAGATTGAGAGTGAGTTGAGTCTTTTTATTTTGATTTTTAAATGTTATCTTTTATAGAATAATTAAATTTAGATAAACGACTTTGTTTGTGAGGGATGAATAATGTAAATCTGTCTTTTTCTCCCTCTAAACAATACATAACTATATAACTGTACAACAACTACAGTATAGTCTGTATACAATGTTTTATATGACTTACGTAAAGGTCGGCGATACAGTAACTCCTCAGGTGTTTCTCTTTTGAGTTCCGGGTTGAAAAATGAAAATAATTCATCTTTGGAGATGTCGTTGTTCTGCAGGCGAGAATGAAAAAGCGCGTGCGTAAAGTTGAAGATGCAACTTTAAACACACCAAACTTTAAACTTGATAAAGTATGTTTCAGAGTGTCGGTGCTCGCACTCTTACCTCGATGTACCGGGAGTCTCCCGTCAGCACCGACAGACACAGCACCAGGAAGAAGAGCTGCTCTCGGAAAGTGCGCTCCATGACGCGCATCTCAGTGTGGAAGTGGCGCACCTGCAGCGGAGAAGAGTCTGAGCTGCACCGCGACGCAGCGCCGCTTTTTATAGGAGCAACTTCTGAGAGGAGCCGCTGACATGGTCGCTGCTGTCACCCACCGTGGACCCCCACCCTCCATCCATCCTCCTCCTCATCCCCCCCCCCCCCCCCCCCCCCCCCTCCCTCACCCGGCCAATTGCGTGGTTGTGACGAGTGCAAGGATGGACAAGTCAATACACACACACACACACACACACACACGCACACAGCTGATGCCAGTAAAGGCTGAAGCAACATAAATCAGAGGTCATCTTCCCTCTCTGGTAAAACTGCTGCACAGACAACATGCTGCTGATCATTAAACAACTGATCCATGACGTGAACATATTTGTAAGAAGAAGAAAAAACAAGCAGATATTGATAGTTTGAAACCAGTGGAGCATTTTTTATTGAAGGACTTTTTCTGTGTTATCTTGAATCTTAATTTTCTGTCTGAGGAAAAAAGACACTTACTGAAGCTCAATATGTTAAAATAACAAAGACCACAATGATATTTTGATGTCAAATGTATATATCTGAAAGTAAAAGACATGTGGGGAAAGTTCATCGGATGATGATCATGTGATATCATCAATACCTGGAATTGTAACTGCTCATTGCAACAACTACATTGATCACTTTTTCAATGGAACACTGGCTCTTTGTTGTGGGGCCATTAGAAAACAGAAAATCTGATAAAAGAATGACAATATTTTTTGCTCCTCTTTCACATATTTACAATTAGAGTAAGTACAGGGGTCAAAGGTCAAAGCAGACTTTAATGTCATTACTTACAGTAATGGCATTGCTTTTAGGCTTCAGAACACTTTCCCAAAATTCCCTTACAGCTATTCACAGGTACACAAATCCTCTCTAATTAGTTATAAGACAAAAAATATCCCCAAACATTATCAAAGCAAAAAAGGAGGACACCTAAGAGCTGGGATAATATCATCGATGGTAGAAATAACAGCAGAAGAGATTCATTGGAGAGAGAGGTGTAATATGAGGTCGACTGTTTGCAAGCATGGACGATGTCCAGAAAGTTTCTGGTGCCACCACCAAGATAAGACCTGAGCCTGATGCAGTGGAGAGACTTTATACCCTCCAGTCATAGGGAGAGAGTTTCCAGTTCAAGTGCAGGATAAAGCCTGTGGGAAGAAACCAGAGCAGCTGGAGTGAATCTATGAGGAGAATATATAGATGACAGGAGTGGAGTCTATAAAGACATGGTGGTGGATGTGTGTGTGTTTAGGTTAGGTCAATGTTCCCATCGTATCTGCCTGAATGCCTGATAACAAATGTTGTGAAGTGAACTCATGTTACTACCTGCAGTGATTTATACAGCGTTCTGCTTCCACACCTGCCTCGTGTGACGTAGTCCTAACAAACCCTGGAGCCTTCAGCTTGGCACGGTGGCTTGTTAGGATTTTTTTGGGAGGTTAAAGTAGGACGCCTACCAGCTAAGAGGGAGAACTCCAAATAATCCCTGTGCAGTTTATGAAAAATTGTGTTTTCTGTATCCAGAGGTTAATAGAGAATGTGAACGATAAACTGCAAAATCTAAATTAGACCATAATACTCAAAATGAGTATCATGACAAATTGAACATCAGTTGTTGGTTATAAAGCCAGTGAAGCATAATTTATCCCATCACACAAAATAGAAATTATAATTACGACTGCGTCTTGTTTTTAAAAACTATATTTCCGCATCCATAAAGCCTAATTTGCTTGTTTTATGTGTATGGAAAACTAATTAACTAACATTCAATTGAAATGAATGAATTACTTGATTGTTGAAAAGTTTGAAGATGCATCAGCAGACTTTTCTGAGAGTCAAGGACGCGGAGCGCTCGTCCTCCACCCGCCGGAGCTTGGCCCCTGAGGTCTGCAGACGCCTCAGGCTGCTGAAAAGGTCAGTCCATTCAAGTGCAGAAATAATAATGTCTTTAAGAGAAGCTATGTGTCCTGGTTTATATATAAACTTGAACAATCTGAGCATGGAAAATGATTTTGAGTATTTGTAGAAGGCAAAAAGAAAATTATCCAGAAGCTTTATAGAGTTCTTTATAGAGTTCTTCATCTTAAGGTCAATAGTCACGATGCCCTGATAGAGGGTTGAAATATAACGAGGACATTTTGATTTTGTTTGTTTGTTTGGTTTTAACCCAGGGTTGCCATTGGATGTGGTATCAAGCTGATTGCAGCTTCCAGTCATCTATTAAAGCGCTAGCTACAAACTTTTCAGAGCTACCTTTCAAGCCTGTGGCGAGTGTGTGAGTCATATTCCTTGATTTGACAAAAAGTCATCAAGGACAAACACTCGTGGGTAAAAAACCCAAAACCTTGTATTGATTGTTCAATCACGTGATTGACCTTTAATTGACATCTGACTTTGAGAATCTGGACAAGAGAGACACTTAAGAGACACTTGAATGTCAGACTAAATTACCTTTTATCCTCAAGTTGAATTCTGACATTGGATGGGCGGATAAATGCACATCCGCTGGAGTACAGGATGTAGAAACCACTCACCGGGTTCTGAGGCTCCCTGGATGGAATATATATTAATCATATGTCACACAAGTCACCTACTATATGTGCCTGGTGAATGTACTCATTATTATTCCCAGGGCCAAAGTGTTTTCCATTACAGCAGATTGGAGCAGTTTTATGCACCATGGTCAAATATCACTAACACACACTTCAAATCAAAACCCACTTTTCATTATGCTTCCTATATTGAGCCAATATGCAGTTACATTTTTATTGAACGCTCATTAAAACGACATCCTGCCTCTTAGATGCATGTGCATGTGCATGGGGGGGGGTTATTCAGCTTCTGGGTGAATTTGCATCTGTGCGGGCCACTTCAGAGGTCCTGTTGCTTTGCATTTAGCCCTGAGAGGCCAAGCTGACTAGCAGAAGCCATTAAGTACTGGTGATGAAGCTTCATTAGGCTCCAACAAACCTGATGCTTCCCCTCATTGTGTCCTCCCTGCATGGATGTTACATGCATTAGCTTTTAGTGGAGCAGAATTTGCCAAAACTTCAGCAACTGTGATTTCTCAAAAACGCTTTTGGGGGAAAATGCCTCACTGTGGAGTGTCTGTGGTGTATACTCTCTGATTATAGTACACAGTGTAGTACACACTGCCACCTCTTGTTTCTCTCTCCGCACAGTTGCTCTGATAATGGTGAAACAATCGGAGTTAGAGCATTTTAAATAACTGTTTCTGAAACTAGAAGGAAGTGCATGCCATACAACAGACACTTTCTGAAACAAAATTTAAAAAACCAGATCAGGATTTTATTTGGATCTACACCAAAATGCACATACTCATAAATATCAGTCAACTAAACTCTTTTTCTTAAAGATCCATGACTAATTCTCTAAGAAAGCAAAAAAAAACCTTTGTACAAACGCCCTTTAGCACAATGTTCAGAAGGTGAAGACATTTCTAGATCCACCCCCTGATCCAGATCTGCATCACATTTTAATGGGTTCTTCCTTTCCCCAGACTAGACGCATCCTTCCACCAAGTTTCCTGCGTAATCCGTCCAATAGTTTTTGTGAAAAAAACTATTTGTGTTTTTGTGAAAGAGACGAACAAACAAATAACGAACACATAACCTCTTTGCCGAAGGTAAGAAGCGATGATTCATCCTCTGGGGACCACAAATGTCTCTGCTACATTTAAATTGCCCTTCATCCAACTGTTGAATTTTGTCAGACTGGGCCAAAGTGAAGGACTAACCATTTGCCCCAGATAATACTGATTCATCAGTTACGTCACCCGCCCCCTGCCTGTGATACTAAAGGGGGAATAAAAAATGAGCTTTGTGTCATTTCTTGATTTCTCTCTGACGTCTTCCATCAGATATTTTTCAGACTAAAAGAAAAATATTTATCTGTTTCTTTGCAGGTGAAAATTCTTTGTTGTCAAAAGTTTGTTTAAGAATAGAAACAAATATACACGGACGACAGATAGCAGCATCACGCGTGTCGATATCAGTCCTGAACATGCTGTCTGGCAGGGTTGTGAGCCAAACACTGGGACTGAGATATTGCCTCGTATCTGCTCCCCCCTGACACTGATAAACAACTTTCGCGTTTTGTGGAAATTACATGTGAATGGAAACTTAAAGCTTCAGTCTTCCAGGTGTCTCCATGTTTTCAGTTAAAAGAAAATTGCATTTCTTATCATGTGATAAAGTGTCACACCTTACTGATGGGCTCCTGTCGATACATGATGATGCTCAGTCTAATATATAAGTGTGGGAGACGTAAGGAGTCAGCCAACAGGTCCTGTCTGATTGTTGGATAAGAGAGGGTTATTGGTCTGGGGGAAAAAACTCACTTTTCCCCTTCAAAATTAAGGTTCATGTCACATAGGTGCAGTTAAACAAGGGAATCGAACCCAAACCCATTTTATAAATATTCAATGGAAATGAAATGATATGTTTCAGCAAAGGGCTGTCTGAAATCTCTGACGCCGCAAGTATAAAAATCACCTTTTCCAAAAGATTAAAGTCAACCTCATCGCAGCTTTTTAGCTATAATGGTTTTGATCGCAGACTGTACATAAAGTTAGAAGGCATGTCTCCACCTCCTGCCACTATTCAGAAATGAAGCTAAAATATCCCAGATGAGAAAGCTGGTGTTTGCACCTCTCATTTCGATAAACATGAAGTGTCATGCAGTGAAACTGTTACAGTACTTAGGGTCTGATTTAAGTTCTTATTGGCCCCTGTATTGTTCCTCCAGTTCCTGCTGTGTGTGCTGTAAATATCCCATCAATGATAATGTCTCCAGCAGCTGCACATGGTCACTTTATTTATCTATTAATCTCTTTTTGTAAAGTTCCTTGGCAAGGGCTACAAAAATATTACTATAATAATGTTCTGCTTTAAGAATTCAAAACAGCAGCACTCCTATGCTTAAATGCAATCTTACCCAAAAAATTATAAAAAATAAAACCGTTCTATGATTAATATTTTGTTTTTATTGTTCTTTAGTTTTGCTTATTCCCAAACAAATGTGCATTTATGCCAATTGCAGCATA